TCCTAGTGTGGGGGTAACGTCTTTTCATTAAAAATAATAAATTATCCATTCAAATTGCGGAAATATCATTTTAAATTTGGAAGAATTATGTTGTTTAATTATAATACATTAATTGAAGTTGAATGATGTAGAACGCGCGCCATCTACTGTACGTTAATTGTACTATGCTATACATACTATATCCTTCGCGGAAGTGCACGCAATATGTTGACAAAGTTTTACCGCAATCTGATGAACGGTATGGCAGCGCATAAAATACGAACAAACACACGTAAATTTTTATATATTAGAAAATATATGACAGGTATTATACATTTTTATATAAAAATGAAGTAATAAACGAACTTGTAGTCTACCTGATGGTAACTGGCTACTGCAGTAGCCAGGCCTGGCTACTGCAGCTGGCTAATGCACACCTGAAGGCAGCCTTAAACAAAAAAGCTTCTGCACGGCTAGCATGGGCTGGGGACAAAAAATTTATCCCCCGATTATATCCACTGACAAGAGATAAAATTATCTTGTCCCTACGCCAAAGCACGGCAACGGGGAGAAGTATATACCCGTTTGACATAACGAGTAGACATATATCCCCCGTCCGTAGCATGGAGTCAAATTAAAGATAAAAAAATATTCTTTTCGTACATTTTAAAGGGACAATTCTATCCTAGTTCATTGGACGTGGGTTTAAGTTTATATTCATACAAAAAATCTATCTAAGTATATCTCCCATTTTATCTACTGTGGATATTATATCCACCGGTATACCCATGCTCGAAGGGTGGATAAAACCAAGCGACATAAACATTTCCTCCTTTCCCCAGGGATAAAATTGTCTCCTGTCTATGCTAGCCCTGCTGGGGACCAAGATGAAATACCTTCCAGCCTGTAATTAACTGGATCTATACTCTTCAGACCGAAACACAGCACACATTTTAATGATACCTAAGCATTTTATTAGGGTTCCGTACCTCAAAAGGAATAAACGGAACCCTTATAGGATCACTTTGTTGTCCGTCTGTCTGTCTGTCAAGACCCCTTTTCTCAGGAACGCGTGGAGGTATTAAGCTGAAATTCATATCAAATAGGTACTTAAGTCTACTGTCCCTTGGAGCTGTGAAAATCAAACTTCTAAGCCAACGCAATCAAAAGATACAGCCGTTAATGCCGCAAATTTTCGCAAGGGAATCAAAACCTACAGGGTACTTCCCGAGAACTCAGAATCCTAAAATTTGGTACGAAGCAACGTATTATAGCACAGATAAAGGAAAAATTGCGAAAAGCATAAATTTTTAGTTACATCATATAATAAAATATTTTTAATAATTTTAAACTTATATACCTACGGATTTGTTCGGAACCCTCGGTGCGGGAGTCCGACTCGCACTTGGCCGGTTTTTTTTTAAATGACTTCACCCAACTGTTAAGGTTCTACAGTATCGATTTAACTTATCAAAATAATTGTATTTACATTAACAGTCTTTACGGTCCACTCAATTCTCAGTCTCAAGAGTGAGAGTGAGACAGAATGCACCAGCTGGCAATTACAGAATTGCGCATACGGGTTCAGTGTTTTGGATAGAGCTTCCTCTTCCCTATACTCATACGTCAGGGCCTAGTCCATCAATCACCAGAGTGCAGTGCGCTAGTGAGATTGACATTTTGAGTAACTATCAATTACTTCAAAAAATTGTATCGCAGCAGTACAGACGAATGGCACTACGCCGACTGCATATAAAAAATAAAATAAATCTTTATTTCAGGCCACAGGGCACCCATACAAGAATATTAGTAAAATTGAAGTGAAATATAAATTTAACTATAGTGTTACTAATTAATTACTTTAAACTAATTCACATAAATAATAATCACAAATATAAAAGGAGATGTTTGAGATCAGCCGATACGAGGGTACCGGTGTCTTATACCGTGGCATGTAGACGTATCCAGCGCTCAAGCAGCGGCGAATCCCACCTATCTACCATTGTGTTGAGAATTCTATTGGAGCTGCCCCGCAGACGCTTCAGCATCGATGCAACACGCATTCTAATAATGGCATGGAAACCATCAGGCTGCATTTCAGATATACTGGACTCGCAACGCGCTGTGCACCCGTTGCGTATAGTTAACCATAGGTTGCCCGTGTAAATAGACTGGCAGTAGGCTTTAAAAATAAATAACATATACATATATTAATAATAATAATTATTAATATTTTTTCTAATCAATATTAACAGTAGCCGTAGCTGCCGACTTTGGCAGTCAATAAATGTTTCATTTGACTGTACTACTTAGTATTACTTTTTAGTTGAACTATAATATATCATCATCATTACAGCCCTTCACAAGTCCATTGCAGGACATAAAATAGCCCCCCCCCCCCAAACATGTTTCCGCCTTGTTGTGGCGGAGAGGCTTAGTAACCGTGGCTTGGTCAAAGTCAAAAACAAAGAGGAACCCACATGGATGGCCCGTGGTAATAGAGCCGGCCTGCGGAGGCTACTCCGAGTGGGCTTGGCGAGTCCACTTCGGATGTGTATTGGTGGGCTGCGGTGAAAGGGGTGCCCTCGCCCCTTACCGCTGCAGCCGAGGTGGAGTCGCGAAGGAAGAGGAGTGTTTGTATGGCGATACGCCACTTGCCCTAACCACCGCGACGGAGTCGGGGACCGGGCCGCACCGTTGATGCGGTGGTGGTGGGGCTGCTGAGGGAGAGGAGTGACAAAACCCGCCGCTAGGATCGGGAAAGCTAGTGCTTCCAAGTGCTCGTTTTTCTGGCCCCATGGCCTCCGCGTATCGGGACTTAGGGGAGTCGGGGGAGAGTTCGCAGTTGTAATAAGAGGCCTTGAAGGAAAGCGCGCCTTGTATTAATGGTGCGCCTAACCTGAGAAGGAAGGGGAGGAGGGGCTGCCATGGGGCGACCGACGCTGGTGGGGCTGCGGATGTGTGCCTAAGCGTTCCCGTGGCCCTGCCAATATGCGGCAAAGTTGGAACACCATGGGGTTTCAGTCGGAGCGAGTCCGACATAACTCGTCCTTGCCCCCGCAATACAAGTATGTGTAGACATTTCCCTATGAATAAAAAAAGACATAAAATAAAAATTAAACAAGGCCTTGAAACACTTGCATCCATCGACTTCCTGTATGTGTTACTAGGTCGTCACTCCATCTAGTGGCGGCCGCTGTACACTTTGCTTATCGATTTGAGGCTGTCAATCGAGAATCTTACTTCCCCATCGGTTGTATGAGGAAGCTTAAGATCGCTCAGCGAGCTCTAAAGAGGGCTATGTTCGGAGTTTCAGTGTGTGATATCAGAGGCAGAACTAAATCAACTGACATAGCTCAACGGATGAGTTTGATGAAGTGGCAATGGGCCGTCCATATAGCTCTACGAACCGACTACCGAACTATTATAGCAATAATAAATAGATATGTAATGTTATTAAGTGGCTATTAATTTATCCAACTTAGTAGGCACTGGAAAGTAATCAAAATTAATAATTACTCCTAAACATACAAACAGAGTGAAATGGGCTATTTTGTTTTCTATACGACATTATGTCATTAATTCGTAGTGAACGATTTTTATACTAAAGACAATAACAGGTTACTGACACCTACACTAAGGTGAGAACCGATGTCTGACGTGGAGCATTGACACGGTAGCCATCAATAAGTGGTGTCCGTAGAAGTTGCTGCTGTCGTCGGCAAAGTGCAGCGACAGTAGCGATTATTATTAATTTATTTTGCTTACAGCAGCACAATAATTTACTGAGGCGCAAGTCATCTAGATTTATATTTAAACAGTCATTCGTTCTAAGTATTGTCGCTAACGGTGTTAAATACTTAGAGTATATAAGAATGAAAGCCTCGACTTCAAATGCTACTTAACTATATGGAATTTATTTATTTTTATGCTTTTAATTCTTTGAGTCTGTTTTTACTTTTTATTAAATATTTAATTTATTAATCCTTTTGAGTGAAAAGGATTAATAATAATTAATGCGGGGTAAACATTAAAAACTTAACCCAGCATTTTTCGACCTTTACGGGTGGAATTTTTTCTAATTTTATATGATGGTTCCATTTCCAGTTTAATATTAACATCATTTAAATCAGTTTAATAATTAGCGAAGATATCGCGTAATATGCACAAAAAAAAAATTAATAATCAAAAACCAAAACACAGTCGTATTGAGCAGCTCTTGCTTGTTGAAGTCTAAAAATGTTTTTTACTCAATCAAAATTTTAAAGTAAAATGATTCAGTTAGCAAAAATGTTGACGCTTCGCAAACTAGTGAAATGCAAACAGATGTGTATGCTCGAAAATCACTCACCGAATATCGTCACGGGAACAATTCTATAAACCTATATCTAGGTACTAAAAATCTCATCTCTTGTTGAAGACTACTCGTTCCTCGTTTCAAACTTAATTTAAAAGGACACTTCGCTTCAAGCGAAAGATAAATGTAATAGTAGAAATCAAATTGGTTTGACTGTAAAACATTTGAATCCAACAAACACTCTTTGCTTCGTTGGCAAAATATAAATGTATATTATATCAAAACATAAAACAGTGTGCAGGAATGTGCCTCTACTAGGCATATTTCATAACTCTCACTCTTACCACGCTGGGCAGATAGGTTGGTTGCTTGGAGGAATGGCATAAAGTTACAACCTATATATACGTCCCACTGCTGGGCGCAGGTCTCATCTTATTTCTGAGAGGGTTTTAGGGCAACTAAATGTCCGCCGCGCAACCCTAATGCGTGTTGCAGTTACTTTACATGTCTTCTAAATATTCTTTTTCATATATCTCAGACATGCAGGTTTCCTCATGATGTTTTCCTTCACCGTCAAAATTACAATTACAATTTAATTGGTAATATATAAGCATATTATTTTTAAATAGGTGAATTTCTTTAAAGTTTAAAGTCCATTTTCGTTATTGTTGCGTGACTGCTTTATATAACTTTATAATAAAGTAATGAAAATTTGCACACTCACCTGAATTCTTGTAGTCGTAACTACTAGTATAGGTGTCGTAATCGTCGTCGTAAATCGACGCCTCTACGTCTATCATTAGGCTGCATGCCAGCAGAGAGATAAACCACCACAACTTCATTTTTATATACTTCTTTTATTTTTATGCACTGTTTCTTCACTGTACACTTTTTCTATATTAGCAAAGTCAGTTATTATATGTTAACTACTGAGGTAATAATTATTGAAAATAATTTGTGGCTCTAAGAAGGTTACAGGATAATTAAATATAACATTTTTATATAACCAATATACTATTGCTTCCAATAAATAAGTACTAATATTCATGCCATATCCCAAATAAACGATAATTTCCAAATGTTCTAAATATATTACAATAATTCAAAAAGTAGCTAGCTAGTCAAATGTCTCAATTGCATCGCTAGTTTAAATAATGGTTTCTTTCAGAAACTGTAAACACTTAGCCACCCGATGCTAGTGGCTAAAGCGCGATGCGGTGACGGTGCCGCTATGATTTGAGCGCATTACTTGGCAATAGGCACTAAAATATACTGTGGACAAGAAAGATCTGGTTCTAATACCATAAAATATAAGGCACAAATACATTATATGGTACGAACAGTGTTCCTTAATAAGAACTTTTATATATAGGAAACTGCAACGGCACCACTCTAGTATACCGCCGCAACCTGTGTGTCTTCGCCCTTATTCGTAAATTATAATATTTATGCTGGATTATCTCAAGCCTAGAACTACATATATCAAAAAATACAATAAATAGATATAATAATTTCTTTCTTTCCAATACTATAATATTTAGATGTTTCTAGATTCATTTAAAATTCAATCGCTTATTACGATAAAAATGTTTTCGACCTCTAACATTGATTAGTTTTCTGGGTAAGCTGCATTTGGAATGATAGTAAAACTAATTTACCAGAAAGTTACGTTTGCGTAGAATATTATCAGGAGCGAGTGCTCTGTGGACGTGAGGCGATAAAAAAGAGGTTATACTCGTACCAATGCCGTACCTTGGCTTGAATAGGTAAATATATGAAATGGTTCGCTTAAAAAATGAGGCAGTTTATAAGCTGCATTAATAGAATTTCAAATTCAAAGGAAGGTCGGTCAAATGGGCTCGTGATTAAGCAAGCCTTGATCGTGATTAATTATAAATTTATCTTTACCGTTTCATTGTTGGTCGTCCGCAACGTTGCTGGTTTAAAGTTTTGCTTTGAAGTGGTTGTACGTAAAAATTAATTTAGATTGAATTTTATTTGATGTTGTAATTCGTATAATTTACATTTTTTTTATCATATCGGACTTTATAATAATATGAATGTTTTAAATTAAATATCACTAACTAGTAACTTTTTGTTACCGAGTAGTAGCGATATAAGGATATTCATCCCAAAGCATCCCGTGGCGACAGCCAAGAGGCGACAGAGGAAAACAAATCAAGTGATGGGCAGCAGCGTCTTCCTAATAACGTCTAAGAATAAAAAAAATGCGGTGACAACTATGGTAAATATCCCCCTATGAAGCAATTTATGGTGGAGGCCTATGTTCAGCAGTGGACTGCGACTGTAATAACGGTAACGGTAAGTAGCATGTTCTCATACTATAAGGTAGCGAAAATACAAATTAAAGTATCATTTCTCTTTATCACTGCAAGTATATTCGCTAACTCACTGCTTAAATTATTGTATTTTTTTTTTCAAAAACATTTAATATGGTTCGGGGAAAAATGCCCACGCTGACAGTTTAACTCAAATTATGCTAATAAGCTTAAAGTCTATTGCGCAGTGCAATTTAGTCTGTGCGGTTGCAAAGATCAATTGCGTGGGTGGTAGTACGAGAAATAGTTATATGCGGTAGATAAAATATTTATTCAGGTCACGCTAAGTGCCAATTGATTACATTGTATATACCAGTTGGTTAAGTAAGCTATATAACAACTTGCAATTCTATAGCCTCAAGTGAAAGATACCGCTCTTAATTAGTAATAATAATTACGGAATGAGATTTCTTCATTTAACGCTATAAGTCTTAATAGCTAACTTCAGCCTAATTTTAAATTAAACGATGTTGAATGGAAAGTTAGCGAGAGTTAAGCTGAAAAAATTGTTTCACAAAGTAAAACTTCTCGTTGGGCGTCAAATGAGAGAAGTTTCCTATTGAGACCGATTCTTGAAAAGTTGAACAGGTCGCAAATAAACTATAACGGAAATGGTTCCTCAACTTTCGGACATAGAAAATTATTTTAGTTCATATTCATTGATATAGTTCGTTTTGAGACTTAAGACTTTTTCATTTCAAATAAAATTTTCAGTAGATTTGCGTTTCGCAAATTCAATTCATTATTTATTTAAAACGGCACTCCGAGCGGATTGGTGAACGCATAATCGATAGGCCGTTCTCGTAAATCCATCTACCTACGTGAGAGTGTCGAAAAAACCTGGTTTCAGTATTAGACGCGCTATATTGAAAAGGTTTCGTCTATCACTTTTAATTGACTTGAAATTTACTTGTAATCTTTTTAAAAGTTATAAGTTAATTTCTAGTAAATCGTTAGACAACCGTTGGTGTACTACGTTACCGTGACTTTTGTTCACTGTCTTATCTTAAGCCAATGAGCTTTAACAATCAAATAGGATCGACGACAAGCACTGGCTCGAAGTGATTAAGAAAACTAAACATAATATTTAGATTAATTCGTTTATTTATACGTAACTATGTACGTGAAAGTCCAGATAGTTAATAAAATATAAAATTATATGCAATAAAATATAAGTAAATGACAAACCATTGCAATTAAAATGTATTACTTTGAAGAGCAGTGGATTTAAAACTTCGGATAACCCCAGATTTTGTACGCGGTTATGTATGTATGTATTCTTTAGCTATTAAATTATACACAGTTAAAAGTTATTAGTAATAGAATTCGACTGATAATGTAGTTACATTTAAAAAAGAAAAATAAAAGAAACAAGCTTAAAATTTTAACTAAGTATAATGACTTTTAGTGGAAATAGTTGGTATAAATTGATATTTATGGTATTTGTAATATGTAGTAATTATTGCTTTTAATCAAAATAATTAATGTTTACTTATGCCCAAATACTCAAACCTCTCTTTGAACTGTGCTCAAACGCTACCCAATTTTAAGATGGCGTTAAATCAAGTGATGTTTCTGTCACTTTAAGCCAAAGTTATTTGATGTTTATTTCATATGTTCTGGAGTTTTTATTATTATTTGAATTTCGAATTTTAAAACTACTTATCACACGAATAGAATGTATACATGTTTGTCGACAATTTGTAGATTCCTGTCACTGTTCTGACAGAATACCCAAACGTAAAAAAAGCAATGTTGTCTTCATGCTTGATTATTCCGTTTTTATGTCTGGTAATACTAAATACTAATATACCTCATTAAGTACTAATTCAATATTAATATACCTAATTAAGTCAGTAATTGGTTTTATTAGAGACTCCTGTATCGTATTGTAGCCTCGAAAAACATTAATAAATGATACAATGTAGTCCAGTTTTCTAACAAATTGCAAAGCCATGTAGGCGTGATTCTAATTCAGTGAATCGGAAAATAGAAGAGATGCAATAAAAATCCACTACTTCAAGACCCTAACAAATTGCAAATGGATCGGTATTCGCCCACGGTAGTTCTGTGCCATATATAGAATTTATATTTTTAAGTACTTATACAAAGTATGTCTGGTATCCTACGCAGCATGTAAATTGTGGAAATTATACAACTCACTCGGTCATAATTCATGACAGCAGATGTAAATAGTCATTATTAATAGGTAAAGAAAATAAAATTGTGCGTGTCTGCATCGACGCATAACTGGAGTTTACTCCTGAAAAACGATTGTCTTAAAATATATACAATAGATAAAGGAAGTGAATGAACCAAAATATTTATTTATATTGATTTGATGAAATATATTACATAAAATATATGACTTACATTACATTAGAGATGCGCGAATATGTTGCACAAAGAAAACTAACCATCTATTTTTCATACCGTGCGCTAGATATGAAACGATTCTCAAAGAGTAAGCTCGAATAAACTCCAAAAAAAAAAAACAAAAACAAAGACTAAACTGGGATATGAAATGTAATAAATTATCGCATAACATGTGAGATGATTAAGAACGAATATACACATGATTGTACGATTGTTGGTTGGCACATTAAAGAAATTTCTGGTAGAAAGATCTCTCAAGCATGCTCCAAATTTCCTTTTTACGGCATCGTTAAACGGCGCGTGTGTTAAACGACCCATGAGTCTTAATTTTCGTTCGAACCGCAAGTAGCTCCGCGCGGGCTCCGAGGACCGACAGGCATATAATTAACAGTCCCTGTCAAATTCACACCAATCACTCTTATCTCCGTTACGCCCGATTTGCAGTAAATTTGCGTCTAAATTTACACCACACTCTTAAGAATACGACGTAAATCTTACGCCTTTCACGTTTCACAGAGTTTAAATTACGTATCTAACTTAAATTAACTTGTTTAGTGTAATGTCAACGCGGGTACAGTATATGAATAATATTCTTTATATTTTTTGTAGAAATTGAGGAATAATTCTTTTAAAATTAAAGGCAATCAGCTAACTATTTCATATTCTCGAAAATATTTTTTGTATTACTGAAATTACACACGTAATTGTTACTATAAAAAAAATACACCTCGAAACAGTGTATACAAGAAGTGTAAAATCTTGTTTTAAATTCCAAACATTTTCGATCAATCATTAATTTTTTTCTTATTTGTATTAAAAGTTTCTTTATGAAAATGAATTTTTAAGAAATAGTGTAATGATGTTCCAACAATGATGTTCACGTAGTAAGTACATGAATGAAACGTGATAATGACGTGATCACTATGGTAGTGCTGGTTCTATTATAATTCAAGTAAATAAATGTATAAAAATATTGTAAAATTTAATGTCTAAAAATAATTTAGCTGAGTATCTTGCTCGTTCTACCAGGACAGATATATTTGCGAAACAGTAATAAATAAAAAAAAAATACTTTTAATAGGTATTATGTAATACTCTATATTGAATAAAAATATTATATTCTATCA